CAATAAGAGGTTGATAACAGTAACACTATGACTACATAACTATTTCATATCAGCCTGAACCAGTGTTTTATCTATTGTTTCAGTGTGTACGGCTCATATGAAGCTCGAAATTTGCCCTGAGTCTAATGGGGCAAAGTGCAAAACTCTAAGGTTTATTTAGAAGTGATAACTAACTAAAAACTAGTGTGAGAAGCGTCGGCAATATAACATACAGACATCCATGAAGATGGGATTTTTCGGTATTTTTGTCAGTCGGTATTTTTGTAAGTCGGGAATTTTTGTAAGTTGGGATTTTCGTAAGTCGGGATTTTTGTAAGTTGGGATTTTTGTAAGTCGGGATTTTCGTAAGTCGGGATTTTTGTAAGTTGGGATTTTTGTAACTCGGGATTTTCGTAACTCGGGATTTTTCAAAAAAACGTTGCGCGTTTATGAGTGGCCCTTAACGGGCTCCGTACTGAATACATTTATGTGTGTAATATTATTTGAATGAAAATCCCAACTTACATTAAGATGAGAACAACGACAATGAAGTAATATTATTTTTGGTTACCTTACAGTTCTTGAACAAACGTTCGCTCCATTCTCAGCCAAATTCCCTGAGCTTTTGGTGATGACAGAAAACACAAAGACAAACAAACCAAATAAGAAGAGTTTGTAGACATCAGAGTTCATTTTCCTAGCAAGTTTCTGCAGGAGAAGAAAATTTAAAAGTGTTAAGATTGCTGTAAATTTGATAAGGAAATGGATCTCTTTTGGTTGTTAGTCAATTCTGATATTTTGCCAGATAACTGAGGCAAAACCGCGGAAGTGGAAAACTATCATCAATATTTACTAACTAAACATTTAGAACACGATTGACCTTAAATGACGCGTTTAGGCGTTCCGGGGAGGGGGGGGGGTACTACCACCCCAACTTGGGTAGGGGTGTGCCGCCTGTACTGATATAATAGAAGATGAAAGACACTTCCTAATTAAATGTCCTCTATACTCTAAACTTAGAGAAGAATTTTTATGCAAAATAACATAAGTAACTCTCTTACGGAGGACCAATTGTTCCTGAAGTTGATAGATCCTCTCCATATTTTACAATCAGCTGCAGCAAAATATAGTGAAATAGTGAAAAAAAAGCAACAACAACAAAACAAATAAAAATCAATACTTGTATAATATTGCATAAAGATGATTAGGATTAGTAACGCATTTTATCGAAATAATTATATGAACATTTATATATACAGAATATATATGTACGTATGACGTGTATGTGTAGAATATGTGAATATAGATATTATGCACATACATAAACATACGTATATATTCGTAACTTATTTGGATCTAAGTTGATGTGCAACTTTGTACAAAACGCCAAATAAAATATGTCTGTCTGTCTGTGCCGCCAGGACCTCAAAACCCTGACCATATCCCAGACCTAAAATTTTGATTTTACGTACCCTACCCCAGACTAAAACTAAGAATTGTACACCCTATCCCAGACTAAAAGACTGAAAAGACGGTTTTTCAATAGATTGCAATCAATATTTACTAACGTTTTTATTGTTTTTGTGCCGGCAGAAAGCGTAGCCTATTCGCCAGACAAAAATGTCCAAATCGTTAACCCTATCTCAGATTAAAATGATACCCTATCCCAGACTAAATGTCAAAAAATGATACCCTACCCCAGACCCAAAAGCCGAAAAACCATACCCTATAGGGCGGCACATACCCGTATAGCAAACATAGGGGAAAACTCTTTAATTTGCAGTCGAGAAATTTACCGAGTCACTTAAAAATCGTTCAGAGGTTTTGCGGAGGATTCCATTCATAAAATTAACACAAAAGGTAAATAAGAAAGAAAAACTGTATCAAACTTTTTATAATTTTTTTGTATTTAACGGTGCGTTTTATTTACTTTTTAAGAAATTTTGCTCCTGCTTTGCTGAGGAAACTGCTTCGACATTCAATTTAATTCAGTTAACAGTTTATTTATTTCTTATTTCTTATTCGTACTCAAAATGAATCATGCATAATAATGCCTTTTTATGTTACTCTGCTGTACTTAATAGAATAAGAAATGGCCGCGCAGGATACACGTAAACTTAAAAATAAAAAGAAACTTACGAGTGAGCGCAGCAAACGGGTAAGATCTTTTTGTAAACTTTTGATACATTTTCACTAAACTCAGCCCCCCCCCCCCCTCCCACACACACACACCTTGCCATACAATGTCATTGAGCCCCCCAATCAAAAAACTGCTCCGCCGTCCCTGAAAACACATACATTATCGATTCAACCAGCTTTTAAGAGTAGAAGCATAAAATCACTTAATAATAACTGGTTGCCAGTTAGACACATTAAAAAAAAAAATCCTTGAAGAAGATGTTCGGATTTGTGAGGAATAAAATTCCATAATTTAGTTCCTTTGAGCCGACAGGATAAGTTGGCCTAGGCCTGTCGCTTTATTTATTGCCATATTAGAAATAAAGGAAGAAAGAGGATTCAGTTTAGCGTTTGTATTTTTCCTTTGTTTTCCTTTTTTTCGTTTTTTATTTTCTTTATCATCACGAATACGAAAAATATTTTGTTTCGGTTCAGTATTGATCTCACACGAACACTTCATGGTTTGACCCTAAATAACCTTGCCAGGGAGCTGAGAAACAGTGAAACCACAATAGTTACAACGCCGTGATCTTTGGCAAGTTTCTCACATCTTTTTACTGATCGCTTTTATGATGGCTTTCCCACTGTTTTTTTTATCCCTAATGTCTCTCATAATCACAAAGCAAACTCAATGACAAGTGAGTTTTATAGCCAGAAAGTCCTGCCAAGCCCTTATAAAATGAATGAGCAAACTATGCTTCAAGTCCTTTGAAGCAAAAAGTTTTCTTACGTGACACGTCATTGTCTTAAAATTTTAATTCCAAAAATGTCCGTCCATACATTTATTAGAACCAATTTTATTTATTTTTAAGCGGAATTCACCCTTCTCACAGTAGCGTGACATTATGATATATTTGATTAATTGGAAAAAGGAGTTTGTAACTTTACTATTAAAGTTCAATGTGACAAATCAGAGATTGCCCATAAACTGACGAAGATTTGAATAAAAATTTCAAATTAAGCCAAGAATTTTGCAAAGTGACGGTATGCTACCAGGTATAGATACCAGGTTAACCTCGTTTCTAGGTACCATACATACTTTTCTTTACGAAAATTTCACAAAAATACTAGGAAAAATAATATCTTTGTCAGTTTAAGAGCAATCTATACGAAACTTTGTAACTTTACTAATATCAATGTGTCAAATTTGATCGTGAACCCCTTTTTCAAATTAATGTATATGTATATGTAATGTCACGCTAGCGTGGGCATATTCTCTACTTTCACATCCCCATAATCTTTGGGGATAACCAATCCAAAAAGCTTTCCCAAATTGAAAGGTTTATTAATTGAATTTGTACTATACCTGCTTTTATCTACTGATTATCAGTTTATTCCAAGTTATTTTTGCGTGTACAGATCATCAAGAGTTTTGTTCTCACAGAAAATGTATTGACTTACGAAAAATGTTTTAAATTTACCTAAAACGTCTTCATTTTAATTTTGGATACCAAACAAGGTATTGCCAACATTGTCTGATCAGCCTTCAGCAGAATAAGTGGGTTTTTACCCTCTGGTCACCCCCCAAAGAAGCAAAGTATTATGGGGATGTGAAAGTAGAGAATAGGGCTATTTCGCTGGGGTTCCCCGTGGTGCTAAACACCACAGCGGAAGTTTCAACGAGTCGTGACAAAACCCAGTCCAAACAACGTTATGTTCAAAACAGAATATAACACGTTCAAATCATAAAGAAAAATAATGCTCAAATAGAATTCCATAAAAACCTCTATAACTCTGGACAGATTAGAAATAAGCTTTATAGTTATCTCCAATGATATATTAAGACTAAGAATTAATATGAGTTAACTAAGATTTAAATAAAGTAACTTTAGCTCTCGGAGTCAAACTTACCTTTGTTTTGAATATCTTCGACAAATATTTTGTACTCGGCGCTAAACGTAGTTTGAGACACAAAAATCAAGTTCCAGAAGAACGATTTACGAAGAAGCTCTAAAGATTAGACGAAGTTTAAAGAAATAGGGCCGAGTAAAGTCGTACGTGTTTTGACAAAATATTATTGATAACGTCTTGAAAATAAATCCCTTTGGACTGGCGTTACTTCAGGGAAAGTACAGCAACATCCGGAATCAAGGAGGCGCCTCGTGATGTAACGATAAAAATAGCTTCTTACTTGGTGACGGAAAATCGACTTGATTCGATGGGTGGATGTAGAATGACCGTCGCCAGTGAATTGAAGGAAATTGCTGTCAATATTTTTGGGGTGAGCGAAATATGTCATGTAGAAACAGCACGCAAAAATCTTGTGACACTAGATAACAATGTAATCAAAACCATCAGTTGATCTTTATTGGAACCATGTATTGTATCAATTGTGATAGGAAGATTTTACTTGACCCGTGAAACCAGGAGATATCAGACATACAATGGAATTATACAGTCGAAATATTCCAAAGGGGTGGGGATAGTTGAATACTGAATACTGCATACTGAATAGTGCATTCCAAGACCAAAGGG